GTCTGTTGCTACAAAATAGTCCAAGAGTTCAAATAGCACCTTTAAGATTAACAAATAGCACCTTTAAGACTAACCTTTAAGACTAAGACTGAGTGGTGGGTGTGGCCTTATGACACACGTCCTTATGACACACTTCTGGTGATGTCAGGGGGTGTGGCATATGCTAATGAGTTATGCTAATGAATTCCCCTAGCTCTTTTTCTACAAAACGACCCCTGGTAATGTGTAGGTGGAGCCTCAGCTGGTGCCACTGAGCAATGATCGGGGAGGGGGGGATTTTGGGGGTGGAGCCTGGGGAGTGGCAGGACCTCAGTGGAGTAGAATGCCACCTACAACTAAGGACAGGGAAGATTCCCTTTACTTTACTGCTCTATGGGGGATAGTTATGCACTAACTCACCAGCTGTGCTGGACCATTTAAAGGGGAAAAGATTGTCCAGGTTGCTGATCAGAGAATCCCCCTGGTATGAAAACCACTGCCTTAAGATGTCTGTGTATACGGAACACAGCCACATAGGATAAAATTCTAGATAGAGCAGGATGACCAGGTATATGTTGGCAGGTCACCAAAGCAAATGAGAGGAGCCTGTCATACAGCATACAGAAGGGAGTTCATATGGAGAAATCTCTTAGCCCTTATTGTGGCAAATTCTTTAGCAGTGAACATCAGGCAGTGGCTTTCAGAGGTCCAGAGAGGCAAAGAAAGAACTTTGCTGTAAGCATGTGATCTTTTGTCCCCATGTAGAGAACACAATGCAGAGTCCACCTGGAAACACTTATTTACTGATGCTGGCAAAAACAAAATGAAACAAAAAAATTTCTCTGGACTTAAAAAAAAACCCCTGTACTGAATGTGCTTTTGCATGATTCTAATCCATTAGCTGTTTTGTTTGGTCATTAGCTTACTAACGAAAAACATGAAACACAGCCAGTGAAATCCTGCAGACAGGGACCTTGGGAAACATCCCTACAGGCGAGCCAGAAGAACAAGCTAAAAACCACAAGCATTGTGCCTTCAGGCCTCCTTCTGCAGTTTGCTCCATAGATCAGGGTAAGACAACAACAAAAAAATCCAAACTGTTTCTCAACATGAGCTAAGCTGCAGCTGTTTCAAGGCCTTATTTATGGTAAATGGTGGCGGCAGCGGGGAAACCCTGTTCCGATCATTAGCGAGAAACAAAACATATCTGCTATATCTTTTCTTGCAAGCTGTTGCTCAGATCCTGGCTGGACCAAGGTAAAATGGATCAAGTAACAATCCAGTATTGTGATTTAACTGGTGAGTAATTTGTTTTAGCTCCTCTTCTGTTCTCACTGAGGGCTGATCTTTTAAAATAAATCACAAAGTAGAATGCTTCCAGGGCTGTATCTCATTTGTACTGCTTTCAAAGAGCTCAGGGAGGTGTACGTGGTTCTCCTTTCCTTTTGTTTCTCCATATAGCAACATTGTGAGGTAGGCTAGCGACTGTCATGAGACCAATGAAATTCATGGGTCTTTCCGGACCCCTTCCAACACACTAGTCAATACACTACAGTGACTACACTGCACTGATTCCAGGAGAGGGCTGGCCTGTTGGAATGCTCACCGTCCATGTAAAAACTTTCCTGCATATTCAATGCCATTTTTCAGTACTTTTAAAGCCAGTACATATTCTTCCTGGTACCTACAATGTGGACGTTGTGAGTCTAAGCCTCACCAGTGCACTCGCTTAGGGGAAAAGACTATGGCTGGGGTCACATTGGTGGCTTGGCGCGGCACAGGTGCTGCTCTTTGCACCGGAACAAGTAATAGCAGGAAGGGGAGATCAGACAGTACCTCTTGCGGTGGTCTCCCTGGGCTTGTGTCCTATGGTCAAGCATCCAGACAGTAGATGCGTGGCAACCACAGAGCACGGTGCCCCGTGAGTTTTTTGTAACCCGGTTGCGCATGCGCATATGTGCTTATGCACACAGTCAGCTCAGCAAAATGGCTCTAGTGTGCACCCTTCCCTTCCGGCTTCCGTTCATCACAACACCGTTGAAACATCTGGAAATGTGGAGTGGGAACGCAAGCACCCGTTAATACTGGACTTTCCCTGGTGCCTAATTATTCCGATCCACAGTGGGGCATCGCTGGATGCTGATGACTGCCATATGGAAGGCAGATGTTCTCGTCTGGTTGTGCTCTTTTAATCCTGCTTCTTGCTCTGACTGAGGGCTGCTGGGAGCAGGGGGTGGGGCTTGTTCCATGTGCCCGCCCCCTGGGCTCTTTACTGCCAGAGCTCCGTTCCTGTGCGCTCCTGCAGGAAATGACCCCTGCATATGGGTAATGCTACTATTTCACTACAAACTGCCCGTGTGACTGCAGCCCTTGGCTCAAGGTAGTAAATGCATTGTTTGCAGGCAAAGGGTCTCAGATTCAACCCCTGGCACCTTGAGTGAAAGGATCTCAAGTAGTAGTGGTTGGGAAAGACTTTTCTCTGACAGAGAGCAGCTGCCAGTCACAGCAGACAAATTCTGGGCTAGGTTGGCCAGAGCCCTGCCCCACTGGTGGACCTCCTGATGGCACTGGTATTTCTGGCCACTGTGTGATACAGAGTGTTGGACTGGATGGGCCTTTGGCCTGATCCAACATTGGTGTCTCTTATGTTCTTATGATATAAGGTAGCTACATATACTCAAAGTTTTACAGCACATGAGGGAGAAGCTCTCCCTCTGGGTATTCCAGCTCTCCAAACGCAGGGCACATTTTTATGCAAGGCAGCATTCAAAAACATGATCCCTGGTCTGGAGTCTAAAATAGCCCACTCCCAAGAGGCTGTTGCTACATGCTTATGCTCCATGCATGAATTGGCCCAGAGTCGAAAAATGTGGTTTGAACTGGTGTCCAATACAATTTACAGGGAAGTAAACCTGAGCAAAAGAAATGAAGCATTTTATACACTGACAGAAAAACCCCATTGAAGCTTTTTCCAGCCTGAGTCTGGAAACCTACATTTCTGAAAAGAGCTCTCTGTATTTAAGAAACATGATAAGCCCTTAAGGTTGAAGAACATGACCAACCCTTTTAAAGCATCCTTCTTACCTGTAGGCATTGACGTTGTATTTCTTCTCGCCTGGAAACCCAAACATGCCACAGATGACTCGGGAATTTTTTGTGTTCCAGTTTCTGTCACAGATCTGTTTCCAGACGCCGCCTTCTTTTACTTCCACATACCCTTCAGTGATGGGCAAACGCTTGCGGGAGGAACTCAGGACGGGTTGGATTCTGACGTCTTCCACCTGGATATTTATATTCTAGGAAGAGAAATAGTTTGTTCAGAATAGCAATTGGCCAGAACATAACACTATTGTAAAATACATCTCAAATAGACTTTAAAAAACAAATCACTGCAAACAAGTCAGTCCCAATGCTTTGGAAGATTTTAGCTGCAGTCTTCAGTGTAGCATGAGGAGTCTAAATTTTTCTTTTCTGACTAAAGTCAGGGGAGAAAAACAGTGAGTTATTTGCATAACTTTGGAGCTGTCCCTGTTGAGGCCATTTCAGCTCAGCAAAATGGCACAGGGTGAAGGCAGGAGCCCCTACCACTCCACACCGCAGTTCCAAACTGAATCAGGCTCCCACCAAACACAGCATGTGGCAGGCCCGTAGCCACAAGGGGCCCCACAAAGGTGGTGTCCCCTCCCGAATGTGCCCTGCATGTAGCTTGGCCATAGGTCTTGTGAAGAAATAAAGAAAAAACAAGCATGTATATACATTGCACACTAGCACTTTATGATTGGTTTTTATAAATGTATTATGTCTCTTGGTGGAACCTAGGATTGCCAGGTCTTACTTTTCCCACTGGCCGGTGGCGGATTGGGGCCCCAGAAATTGGGGGATCCCCTGCCCCGACCAGGGGTGTGGCAACTCTAGTAGAACCAGAAATATTACAGAGAGGAATTTTTCAATCCTAATCCTTGATTCAATCCTAATCCTATGCAGAAAAGATGAAAGGATTATAGGTTCCTTCAAATAAGAATATTCCTGGATGACTTCCCCCCCACTGAAGGAGAAAGGCAAGGGGAACTAATTAAACCTCTGTTAAAGGGATAAGACATTGTTTTCCTGGCCAGTTAGTAACCTCAGTTATGATAGGAATTTTTTAAAAAATTCCTTGGGAGACTTGGGTTCAGAT